CTCTTTCCCACTGCAGAGTGATACTGGTCTCACTTTGTGCAACTGATGTGAAACCTTCTGCATTAGGAGGAGCTAGGATGTAAAAAGACATGGAGAAGATACTGTTACAAAATCTGAGTTTAAAGAAAAGACACGATAACCCTGATAAAATGTTGTGCATGCTGCGGAAACAAGCTGTTATTTGAGAGATTTTTGAGCCACGTGTCCAGCGGCATTATCAGTCCTACGAAGCGTACGATTGAGGTCCCGGTTTGCGGCTTTAAAGGACGGCGATGAACACAAAACGCAGGACTTTCCTTTTCTTATCAATGCTTATTTTATTCTGCACAACTATTGTGAAGTTCACAAAGAAACTGTAAACGAACAAAAGCATAAATGCTCTCCACTGCGACAGGGACTTCCAGCCACGCGGCAGAGCTATGAGACAACAAAACCGAGGAAATGAGTGAGAGACATGTGTTCACCAAATATATCAAGCACAACCTTATATTAGTCATATTTGACTAATATAACGATGCAACCAATCTACTTCCTGTTTGCACTGGCACCCGCATGCCCAGTGTAGGTCAATAGTTACAGTATGTGATAGTCATTTTCAGGCGTGTTAGTATGGACAGAAATCCTTTCTAAAACAACCGAATGGACGTAGATCGTTTTCATTTTAAAACCCTGTTTCAAAAATCTACAGCAGGTGATTAAAACCGGCCAGAGCATCACTGACATCAATCTAGAGAGCATCAGTGATGTTGGGGAGAAGAGGATCCTGCGAAGAGCTGAAGGGATATTAAAAGACAAAACACACCCCAGCCACAACCTGTTCACCCTGATGCCATCTGGAGAGAGATACAGAAGTATCAGCTGCCGGACCACCAGACTTCACATCAGCTTCTTTCCTCTGGCTGTGAGACTCACTCATCCTCCACCATATATAATATTTATATATATTTTTTGTTATTGTTTGTTTTCTTTCCTGCGTCACCAAGATAAAGGACAGTGGCTCAAACTTACATGGTTTTGTTGTTGGAAGAGTTGTCAACG